CACTCATTAAGAAAATATTAAAATCTAGACAAAAATAGTTAGTGTGACTAAACTACCTTTAATTAAATGTTGCAGCATAATTTAATGCGGGGAGTAAAAGACTTTTTAGGAATACGTACATAAGGGTAATTTTGGAAAAACAAATTGAATTTTTTCTTGATTATATAAATGGATACTTATTTTGGATCAAAATAAAAAAGCAATTGGTCACTTATTATGGATCGGAGTGAGTAATTAAGTATTCTTTTATGTTAGTAGTAATATTTATGGGATTTTTCAGCAGAAATTCGAGTATTATAAAATATCGGGTGAAAAAAAAAAAAGAATAACAAGTGATGAGGGCCCCACATGATGGAGAAGTGACTGGTAATGTGTGAGTTTTGGCAGTGTCCTTGTGATCTTTTTTACTCCATTAAGGCTCATCAATATTTCAGAATTTTACTATTAGCTCGTCTTATTTTTGTGCAATTACACAGTCTTTTGCTTCTTTTTCTTAGCCGGAAGACCTGGAGCAAATACATTTTTTTCACATTGTAATGAAACAAAATCCAGGACCAGTCTTAACATTAAAACAGCAACAGCAAAACGAGTCTCCGTGAACCAAACAGACAAAACCAAGACGACCTTTCGACTATATTTGGTTGAAGTTAAAAGGCAGAATAGTTCGGGACCCCTGAATTTCACAGCTTTTATTTAGTATACACGCATTTAAATTTTACGTTGGCTTAATTATACCTTTGAACTTGGCAATCTGATAGTCTCGACCCCTTGTACATTGATGTGATAAGGAGAGGCATGCGGCGGGAAGAATTTTTTTAAAAAAATTCAGTTTTCAAGTGGGGTATTTTTCAACTATTAATTGTAACATAATCATATATAATAATATATTTGTTCTAACTATATTTGTTCCAACAATGATTTATTTTTTCTTATTTCTTCTTAATATATAATGCATATTTTATCCCAGTTGTATTTTTTTCTTGTTAGATATCATGACTATTGGTTCCAACTATATATTTCTTTCTTTTTTCCGAGCACAATAACAACAACAACAACCCAATAAAATTCCACAAGTGGGATCTGGGAAGGGTAGAGAGTACGCAGACCTTACCGCTACCCCAAGGAGTAGAGAAGCTGTTTCTGATAGACCCTCGGCTCAAGCAAACGAAAAAGCAATATATCAGTACCAACAACAGAAAGCATAGAAATAGTAACAGAATCATAAGTACCAGAAAATAGATGAAAAACGATAACAGTAACATGTAAGAAAAGGCTCGGTACTATGAAAAGTGAAAGATAAGTGTGGATACTACAATAACCACTAGCACTCTAGGACACAACCCTGTTAGACTAGCCTCTCACCCAGTACGGAGTACCAAAGAGCTCCGCTACCCTCTATTCTACAACCCTAATGATAGACCTCCACACCTTCCTATCAAGGGCCATGTCCTCGAAAATCCGAAGCCTTGTCATGTCCTGCATGATCACCATTCCCCAATACTTCTTGGGCCGCCCTCTACCTCTTCTCATACTTGTCAAAGCCAATCGCTCACATCTCCTTATTGGGACATTTGGATTTCTCCTCCGCACGTGTCCGAACCATCTGAGCCTAGCTTCCTGCATCTTGTCATCCATCGGGGCTACGTCCACCTTCTCCCGGATATCTTCATTCCTATAATCTTATCCATCCTTGTGTCCCGCACATCCACGTCAACATCCTCATTTCTACTACTTTCGTCTTGTGGATATGCGAGTTCGTAACCGGCCAACACTCTGTCCCATACAACATGGCTAGTCTAACCACCGCTCTATATAACTTACCTTTGAACCTCTATGGCACCTTCTTGTCACATAGGACTCCAGATGCTAACTTCCACTTCATCCACCCCACCCCTTTACGGTGCGCGACATCTTCGTTGATCTCTCCGTCCCCTTGTATAACCGACCCAAGGTACTTGAAACTGCTTCTCTTGGGGATGACCTGTGATTCAAGCGTCACATCCACGCCCACTTCCCTCGACTCGGCTTAATGTGTAAATCTTAGCTAAAATTTTATTTTTTAATTTGGCCAAATAAAATGAAGGTTTAGACAAAGTAATAAGTTCAAATGATGTATACTTTAGAAATAAAAAATAATTATATTTCTTCTCTCATGCAATGACTATTTATTTCAATTGTGCATTTATTTTTTGGGTCAAATTTGTAAAATATTTGTTTGGAATTTCATCATTTTTTGCCAAAATAATGGAGCTCCAACAAATTTGATTAAAATATTAATATCTTTAACCAAATAAAACAAAATATAGTCAATATAACTTGTTTCAATTTTTTTTTGGTTACAGATTTGGCCCCAAAAAGATGATCCAAATAATTGGTGAGCCTAAAAGGTAAAAATATAAATAAAAAATCCTAAAAATTACCACGTGGACAAAAAAATTCACGTGACGGTGCATGTGTTACACTTTTATGGGTTGTTAGCGTTCGGGGGGGTGGGGGTGGGGGCTCGAGGCTATTAAATTATCAAGTTTAGAAGGTAATTAGGCCAACATATATTTCAAATATGCACTGAATAAAAGTCGTTATGTACCCAAGTTTTAGGGATCCCGATCTATTCTACCAAAAGATATTATTTGAAATTAAAGTCTAACGACTTGATCAAATTTACTAGCAATGTCTCACAACAAACGATTTGTAGAATTAATTTGATTAATTTTTAAAATTAAAATTGAATTAGATCAACTCAATATTTTAAAATGTAAATTTAAATATTTAAAAACTATACAGAAGTATTATAAATTATACTTCTTCTCATATCAATATTATTAAAAAAAATATTTTAAAATATTAATTAATGTTCACATAATTTAAATTTGAAGAAGCAAAAAGTATCACATTAATTTTTACGTAAAAAGCTTTTTTATTCTGACAAAAAAATAAGATAAGCAACAAAGTATTTAGTGGGCGTTCGGACATAAGAACTGTAAATTTTTTTTTTGAAAAAAAGTAAAAATATTTTCAAATAAAAATGATATTTAAAAATTAGAGTTGTGCTTGGACATGAATATAATTTCGGGTTATTTTTGAATTTTTGTAAGTGCTCTGAGTGAAAATTTTGAATAATAATTTTTTAGAGTTTTTCAAATTCAAAAATTTCAAAAATTTATCTTCAAGTAAAATTTAAAAATTTTAAGGCCAGACGGTATTTTCGAAAAAAAATAAAAAAATTCTTATATCCAAACGGGCTCTTAATCCCTCATAAGTCATAAAGACTCAAAACAAAAAAGAGTCATTTCTATAATATGTGTACAGCAAATATAAAGCCAAATATGGGGTGAGTAGTCAAAATAGCCACATGAAAAAGTACTCTTTACTCAGAGCAATTATTATCTTCCTCACGTAAAAAACCTGTCCTACTCTTCTCTTTTTGTTTTATTTTTCCTTGGTTTAAAAAAACAACCTGATCCACAATCATTTTTTCCAAATCTAACTGATTATGACATAAGAGAATAATAATGGTTTTGCATTATCTGGCAACTGGATTGTGCTTATCTTTTTAATCGAGTAATTTTGAAATAATAATTTCTCCTTTGAAAAAGATCCTTTAAATTTAGAAAAATATTAGATATATACTGACCAGTTACTCAATTTAGAATAAGATTGTTAATATTATGTATTTGGTTTGACTGCAATTCTTACAAGTTTAAAACAGCTCGGATTTTCGCTAGCCAAATTTAACTTTTTAATGCATTTACGTGTTTTTGCATTTTTCCTTTTGTGTACTTCCTTTTAAATTAACAAACTTGATGGATATTCTATAATTAGTTTAGATGACCCAGTTAGTCAAACCAATTTTACAGTGTATAATTGAAGATATCATTAAGTAGTTCCAGACTTTTTGCTTATTAAATATTTTCCTTATTTGAAATTAAGGTACATTAAAAATTTCTTCAAAAGGAAAAAGACAGGAAAAAATGGGATAAGTAATAATTCTTTCGTTCCCACATATTTGACTGTTTTCATTCATCAAGATCAAGTTTGACCAAATTTCTCAAACTAAATCGAATGAAATTAGTAGCATTTTGTTACATCAAAGCACTAAAAAGAGTAAATATTTGGAGATAAAGAAATAAAACATCCCCACAAAAAGAACTACTCCTCAGATCATTATACATGTATCACCCAGTAAAATTTATGCAAGGACGAAAAATCACAATCTTGCATTGATATCAACACTACTGAGTAGAATTATTAAACAAACCTGATATAGTGAAAAACTAAGTTAAAAAAACCATACACACTACTACATTAGTCCCTTTGTCCCGGTTTACGTAAATATATTTGACTGAACACGAAATATAAGAAATAAAGAAAAAAATTTGAACATTAACACTTACCAGAGAAATTTACGAAGTTAGAAACTATCCGATAGTATAAAGAGAAATTTAAAATTTAAGTGGTAGCAAATAATAGGGAAATATTATAGGAAAATAGCAAATGTAGGAATTTTTTTTGTACTAACTAAAAAGAAAACAGTGTGTTTTAGTACTCCTCTACCAAAACAAGTATTAGCGAGGTGGCACTATCAATTAGTCCTAGGGGCGTAGCTATCTTGTTTGAAGCGGTATCTCGTGATACCGTTTCGTCGTAATTTTTTTGTAATCTATAGAAATTTATACAACATCACTTGCCATTATAGTAATTTGTTTATTGGTTCATTTCTTCAACTATTGACATCTCTTGCGAATTTTTCTGCGTACGTCACCGTGTACAACTATTATATGGAAAAAATTACTTTTTACGTTTGGGATTTTCATCAAAACCACATTAGTTTTAATATATATATATTGAAGCGATAAAAGACATAATCTCAATGAGTATTAAAATGGGGGTATTTCGGTAACTTCAATCTATCATTTGACAGTCCCAAAACATTTGAAGCAAAATTTGGTTGAAAAGATGGTCGTGCATTAGTCGTCTCATATGTTCTTTTAACATTCTTGAATTGGTTTCTCTCTCTCTTTCTCTCTCTGATGCTACATGGACAAGACTCTAGACTCCAGTATATAGAGTCTGCTTCTAAAACATAGACCCTAGAGAGAGAAAACTAGATAGAGTAAGCAAAAACCAAAGAGCTACTAGTCTTAATTTATGTCTCAAAAGATATAGTCTAGCTACAGAGATTATCATCATCTGTTATATGCACTGTAGCACCACCATAACTTAGCCAAATTTCCTAGAAAAAAAACCCCATCTCAATCTCATAAATTCAAAAGAAAAAAGCCCATCTCAGCTGATAAAGTTTGTTTTTCCGGTAGAAAAAATGGAGGACAATGGTATGGTTCATGGGAATCTTGATCCTAGAGCCCAAGAATTCATACCAAGATATCCTTTTCACCAACCCCATAACAATTCTTTACCTTTGCTCCCTAATCAATTTTACTATCCTGCTTATCCATGTCCACAACAGTTGCCGCCGCCGTTGCCGCCTTCGTTACCGCCATACGGTGATGGTGTTGGATACCATCAAGTTACACACACGGCGTACGTTAGCTCAAACCCACCTATGCCTACGCCTTTTTTGCCACCTCCAAGTTCAATGGCTACAAGAACTTTGTTGTTAAGTATGGTTCCAGTTGAAGTGAGTGAGTCTATAGTGAGAAGGGATTTGGAAGTTTTTGGAGATGTTCGAGCAGTGCAAATGGGTAGGTTAAGAGAAGGGATTGTAACGGTTCATTTTTATGATTTGAGGCACGCGCGGACGGCGTTGACGGAGATTCAAGAACAGAACATGCAACAGCAGTGTCGTTTAAGGAGGCATTATGAGGAGTCTATTTATTCTACTACTATGGGTGGTTTAATTCTTCCCCCTCTTCCACTTCCTCCCCCGGCGCGTGGGCTCATTGCTGGAAGAGCTGTTTGGGCTCAGTTTACTTTCCCTCTGACTTCTGGTCTTCCTGATGGGAATAACCAAGGGACACTTGTGATTTTCAATTTGGACTCTCATACTTCTTCTAATTATCTTAGAGATATTTTTCAAGCTTTTGGTATATATACTAGTAACTTTTTAGCCTTTTCCCTTATTTTGTATATTAAATATTTTTCAAACTGATAAATCTTTACCCAATTTTCTCGCTTTGGTACTAGGTGAATGAATATATATATGTTGCTGATTATGTTTGTGTTGAATATAATATAGGGCATGTGAAGGAATTGAGAGAGACACCAATGAAGAGGCATCAAAGGTTTGTGGAGTTTTATGATGTAAGAGATGCAGCAAGGGCTTTAATGGAGATGAATGGAAAGGAGATAAATGGAAAGCAACTGTTGATTGAATTCAGTAGGCCAGGTGGAAATAGCAGAAGATTTTCAAGACCTAATTTTCCATCACCTAAATTCAGTCGTAATTCAATAAACAACAATTATAATTCTTCTCCTCCACAAAAACCTCAAAGGGTGTACACTTCACATTCCCAGAAATCAAATTATGGAAACCCTAGTGGAAGTGAGAACAGTTCAGGTAGTGGGTCTATTCAAGATTCATTGGCATCTTTGTGTATATCAAGTAATGTTAGGCCTGGGAAAATCAAGAATGCTAAAACATATAATAAAAGTATTAGTCCAAGCAGTAGCAGTGTTACAACTACTTCTTCGTCGAAGCAGCAACCACAACAAATTTTGCTACAAATTAAGAGCAATAAACCATGGAAACAGGCCAGAGATTATGATCCTCGTTTTCTAATTAACGAAGATGCCATTATGGAATCAAATTGCAGTGATACCAGAACTACTGTCATGATTAAAAACATACCCAACAAGTACAGGTAATCATCCTAAATTCAATCTTTACTTTCTTTATTTCCTTATCTATTCGTATTCTAATTAATTTCCCCTTTTATGTTTATGCTGGTAATATAGGAAGTCCCCTTTACGCAGTGAATAACTAATGAAGGTTATATGTTGATTAATAATATACAAATTGTTATGGAGTGAATAATAATACATGGAAAAAATTGTCAAAGGCTATTTTTTTTTATTTCACAGTTCATCTCGTATAACATATATAGGAGTACTAGATTTTAGGTAACATATTACTGGGATAATATCCAGCAGTTAAATGTTGCATAAAATTATGTGGGAATTGTTTTTTTCTTATACAGCTGATCAAACGGCATTGCATTTTTAAGTACCCCACTAATCAAATTTAGTTTAATTTTATACAATATTTTATGTTGAAAAAATAGTGTAATAATCTTGGTATTTGGTATATTTGACTGACATATATTTGGGGTGTGGTGCAGTCAGAAGCTGCTGCTGAACATGCTGGACAACCACTGCATTCACTGTAACGAGCAGATTGCCGACGGCGATGATCAGCAGCAGCCAAAATCCTCCTACGATTTCGTTTATCTTCCCATTGATTTCATGTGGGTTTTTCAATTAAGATTGAATTTTTATCCCTTAATTTAATTAGTTCTAACATGTAATCATATAAATTTGTTTAGTAACAAGTGCAACGTGGGATATGGATTCGTGAACATGACTTCACCACAGGCAACTTTGAGACTCTACAAAGCTTTTCACCATCAAAGTTGGGAGGTCTTCAACTCTAGAAAAATCTGCCAAGTTACTTATGCTAGATTACAAGTATGTTCCACCTCCCTCTATATTAGCAAAATATTTTTTGTTTTTTCAGCATTGAATTCATTGTTTAGTGTGTCTTTAAAAACTTTTATTTTGGTTGGCATTAATTTATTGAATAAGTTACATGAGAATTTATGTATGTATTATTTTATGTGTATTAGCAATAAAATGAAATTATTTTAAATTGTGAGTATTAAAATTTGATGTTTTAGTATGGTGGAGTAATTAGTTTGTGATTAAAAATGCATGAATGAAGGGAATAGAAGCACTAAAAGAACATTTCAAGAACTCAAAGTTCCCATGTGAAGCAGAGGAATACATGCCAGTAATATTCTCACCACCTCGAGATGGCAAGTTATTAACAGAAGCTGTTCCTATAGTGGGTCGAGTAATGAACCCTCCTCCTCCATTACTCCTTTCTGCCGTCACTTCCGATTCTGCTTCGATGGAACAACAGTTGGTGGAAGAGGTTGGTAGACTAGTAGATGATAATGAAAATGGCTATATGGACAGAAGTAATGATGACGAAGAAGCGAGAAACGGCGGCGTTGGTGTTGGTGTTGGTGTTGGTGTTGGTGTTGGTGTTGGTGTTGGTGTTGGTGTTGGTGAAGATTACGATGACGACAACAACAATGATTCAAGATCATTTGCTTCCATCTGCATGTTAAGTAACTAAGGCCGAAAGATTTTATACTTCTACAAAATCCTATGAAGAAAAAGAAAAGATTTCATTTCATTTCATGTGGAAGGGAAAAAAATCGACCACTCCCCATTGCAGAAATCTGGCACAAAAGAGAGAATTAAGTGTAAAGAAACAGCTTGCTACCACCCAATGGGTTTGCGTGTAAATCTCTCACTCAAAAAAGCACTCTTCTCTCTACCTCGATCAAGGGAAAAGAACCCCATACTCCTCTCACATACTTGTGTAGTGTAGTTGTAAGTTTAGCATTTTACTATTCTCTCTCTGTTGGATAATTTCTTCTGTCTTTGCAACATTGGTCTGTTTTCGTAGTAAAAATCTTTTGCATTCAAAGCAAGAATTCCATCTTTTTCGTTTTCACTTTTCCCATGGATGTGCATGGTTAAAGTTAATATCTAATTTAACATGTTATAACAAGTTATTTATTATTCATTTCCAGTTATGCTTTTTAAATTAAATTTCTGTTTTATGCACTGTTTGTGTAAACCCTTCTATTCGCTTAAGTTCTTTTCAAGTAATAATTTGAATGGACAAATATTTTACACTGTTAATACACATAACATAAACTCTTTTATGTATTCTCTCATAATGGATAATCCCTTTGGATTTCTTTTCTTCTCTCTCTTTGAAACATTGGTCTGTTATCGTTGTAAAACTAGAAAAATCAAAGGACTAGATCTTTTTCATTAAAAGCAAGAATCCAATTCTTTTGGGTTTTCTTTTCCGAGGATATTGAGCATGGTTTATTTTTCTTTGTTAATCAATTTTTCGGGGTCTGTTTTTTTATAGTAATTATTACCTCATCGGAAATATTAAACCTGACTCTTTATGTATCTGGCATTAAATGAAAGAGGGGGAGAGTTAGAAAGGCTGGGAACCAATAGGGTGCTAATATCGGGAAGGAAACAACAACAACGACCCAGTAAAATTTCACTAGTGAGGTTTAGGGAGGGTAGCGTGTACGTAAACCTTATCCCTACCGTAATTGAGTATAGAGGCTGTTTCCGGAAGTCCCTCAACTCAAGATGAAGTTAGTGTGTTTTTAGCGTATTTGTGACATTGCTCTTGTTTTAACCTAAATGGTTAACAACAATTTTGATAGTGCTCATGATCCGTTTTGCACTCATTTACACGCGAGAATAAAGGATTATAGTGCATATATTTTTATACTATCAGTTAAGTAAAGAAAAATTTGCTTTTTCAAGTGATTTAAACTTTTAGGTAATACGGTTATTCAATATGATATCACAGCAGGTATGACTTAGCTGATTTAGAGTAGCTGATAAGCATTAGGTGCTGAAAAGCACTTTTAAGTACTGAAGTTGATTTAAAAAATAAGCAGTTACGTGTTTGGATAGAAGTGCTGAAATTAATAATATGCAGCTAAAGAACTGGGTATACGAAAAATTTTGTTTTAAAAAGAAGTATTTTAGGGATAGAATAGTAAATATTTTGGTCAAACTTAAACTGCTTATAAGTTGAAATTTGATAAGTTGGGGGAGACCAACTTATGGCTTTTGGCTTATTTTTGGCTTATAAGCACTTAACTTATAAGCACTTTTAATTTTACCAAACGCGTAGATAAGCCAAAAAGTGCCTATAAGCCAGTTTGACCAGCTTATAAGCTTAGCCAAACACCCTCTAAATTTGGATCGTAATCTAGTCGCCACCAATATAAAAAATAATCATCACATATATAGACTTGTTGAAGACGCAATTTATAAGTAAATAAAAGTATGTTTAGTTTTGAGTCTCTAGGTTTTCGGCCCGAGCGGCAAACTCGATCTTTTAGGGAAAACGATTCATAAGCCTTCAACTGGATAAAAAACTTGAGAGAATCGATGAAGCTAAGAGTGGGAATCAGAATTTTTTAGTAAAGGGGGTGTGTTAAAAACATGATTTATATTAGTAAAGTGAAATGTATTTTTGCTAACAATACTTACTCGTCTAACTTATGTAAGAAAGGTTTTACCGATGATCTTTAAATATAAGAATAAATAGTATCAGAATTGAGGTGAGGATCAGGCCTTGATTGTGTTATGTTCTTTACCACCATCTTATGATACTTTTATCGATACACTGCTATATGTGAAAGACAGTATTTCACTGGAAGATGTTAGTAATGCACTAAAATCTAAAGAGTTGGACAACAGAATTGAGGGTGAGGGTCTTGTGAGTAGAGGAAGAACACAACAAACGGACTTTAACAGGAAAAAGTCAACCGCCGGATCGAAGTCTAGAGCAAGGAAGCAGAACTGTTATGAGTGCGGGGAGCAAGGTCACTACAAGAGGGAGTGTCCCGAGCTGAAAGAGAAAATAGGAAAGCAGAAAGTAGATAATTCGGCAAATGTTGTTGACACTGGCAATAATTCTGATGATAGTGATTATGTAGGGGAAGTTTGTGCCGTGAGTTCTAGTCATGGGTAGAATTCCTGGGTTCTTGATTCTGGTGCTACTTTCCATATGTGTCCACATAAGAATTGGTTTTTAACTTACAAACAAATGAGTGAGACTGTCTACATGGGAGATGGTAATCCATTACCAGTACAGGGATTGGTAACATCAAATTGAGAATGTTCGATGGAATTATCAGAAATATTGAGTGTTGGCATGTTCCTCAGATAAAGAGAAATTTGATTTCTCTTTCTACTTTGGATAATCAAGGGTATAAATTTCACTTCGAGAATGGAATACTTAAAGTGTGTAAAGGCTCTGTGGTACTCATGAAAAGTAAACTGCACTCTAAATTGTATCATCTTCAGGCCAGTGTAGTTAAAGGGCAAGCTGCTGTAACTTCTAGGAAAAGTAATTTGAATCAGTCTCAGTTGTGGCACTTGCGACTTGGTCATGTGAGTGACAAGGGATTGTCTTTGTTGAGTAAGCAGAATTTGCTGAATGAGTATAAAAATCAAGTTTTGAATTTTTGCGAGCATTGTGTGTTTGGTAAACATAAAAGGGTAAAGTTCAACAAGAAGGTAGAGCACAAGACCAGAGATAAGTTAGTTTATATACATTCAGACTTGTGGGGTCCAAGTAGCCAGGTATTTTATGACTTTGGTTGATGATTACTCAAGGATGGTGTGGGAGTATTTTCTGAAAACAAAAGATGAGGCATTTTCGACATTTGTTAAATGGAATACGATGGTAGAGAGGCAGACGGAAAGAAAAGTTAAGCATCTTCGAGCTGACAATGAGTTGGAATTTTGCAATTCTGAGTTTGATAATTTCTGCAGCAAAGAGGGCATAGTGGAACACCGCACTTATGTCGGAACACCACAACAAAATGGTGTTGCAGAACGTATGAGCATAACGCTTTGTGATAGGGCACGAAGCATGCTTTCACACTCATGTGTTAGCAAGGATTTTTGGGGTGAAACAATTAATACAACTTGTTATTTGGTCAACAGATCTACATCCACAACTATTGAATTCAAAACTCCTTTTGAGGTATGGTCCGGTTCGCCTGCTGATTATTCAAATTTAAGAATATTTGATTGTCCTGCTTATACTCATATGAGGGGTGGAAAACTTGAGCTGAAGGCAAAAAAGTACATATTTCTAGGGTATGCAACTGGAATGAAAGATTATAGGTTGTGGTGCACAGATCAAAAGACTCCATGGCTAATTATCAGTAGGAACGTAACATCTAACGAATCTGCCTCACTGGACAGTCAGAGGGAGAAGGCAATAGTAGAAACAGATCGTGGTGTCAGTGACCGCATAGAGCTAGAAATTGAATCTTCACTAGCTCAACCTAGTAGTTTTAAAGTAGAGGAAGTGGAGGAGGTGCAAAATATTAATCAAGATGATAATGTTGATGCACCTGCGCAACAACAACCATATAGCATTGCAACAGGCAGAGAGAAGAGAGTGATCAACCGACCGCAAATGTTTGCAAACATAGTTGATGGTAATTTTCTTGGATATACGAATCTTGTGGGATTTGCTTTAGCAGTTGCAGAGACCGCTGATGCGTTTGAGTGTTATAGCTATCCAAAAGCTATTTCGGGTACCGAACTAAATCGACGGATTAATGCTATGACTGAAGAGATTAAGTCTTTTAACAAGTTTAGGTATTGCCTACACTTGGTTGATGTATGCACCTAAGGGTAGAGCCCTCACGAGGGCTGAGGGAAGATAGAGAGACGTTGTTCCTGTTGATGAAGAGAATTCAAGTCAATGGAAAGATTTTTTATTTTGTGGCTTGATTTATTTCCTTGTATTTTTAGGAAACCTATAATCCCTATAGGTTTAGGAAAACTCATTGTTCTAGTAGATTTGGGAAAGGAAAACTTATTGTCCTTGTCACATTGTGAAACCTTTCTCTTATAGGTTTGAGACTATTTAGGATTTATATATAGGGGCTGTAGTTGGGGATTCTATAGATTCTATGGTGCTTTTCTTCTCATTCATAGTGAAAAACTCTCTCTGCTTCTGTCCTGAGGATTAGACTTAGCGGACCTCGTTAAATCTTTGTGTTGATTTTTCTTCTCTATTTGATTTGTGTGTGGTTGTGTCTAGTTAACCACGATCTCTCCCAACAAAATCTAAAAAGTAATGACAATCTCTTTGGATTAAAACATATACTATATTGCATCAAATAATTTATACATAAAATATAATATATCCGCACATACACACGTATATTCACAAGAAGAGAATAAAAAAGAGGGAACCTTATATTTATCTGGTGAATAAAGTGTCAGCGCATACCGTGCAGGAGATCATGAATAGTAGTAATATACTGGAAAGGACAATTTTGTTCCCAAGCGGATGGAAAAGGAATCATGCAAAAAAGAATAGAGCTTAATTATCAACAAAATGGAAAAGGGCGTCCATAAAATTCTCTTAAAACTCTTACTTAGCTCCTCAATCTCTTTTCTTGTTTTCTTGTTTTTTCCCTTTTAGGTGGTTCCTTTTCATTTCACTTTTAAGGTAATATTAACATTTCAAGTGTGTTATTCCCCTAAAAATGCCAAAGCTATACTCAAGTTTCCCAACTTGGGAGGTTACATATGTTTGGTCCTGGTTTAGGGGTTATAAAATAATCCATTGCTTATAGTTTACAGGGAGTGAAGTGGAACATAACATTACCATAAAAAACACACTCAAAAGTATATTCTAAACATGTTTTAGTGAAGTGATGATGGTAAAATGATTAATTCATTCAAAACTTGCTATTCTAATAGCCTGTTTGGCCAAAAGTGCTTTTTTTTGGCCAAAAATTGAGGTGTTTGGCCAAGCTTTTGGAAGGAAACAAAGTGCTTTTGAGAAGAAGCAGAAGCAGTTTTGGAGAAGCAGAAAAAGGTAGCTTCTCTCCAAAAGCACTTTTTTGAGAAGCACTTTTGAGAAAAATAC